ATTCTCGCTGTTCATCATCTTGTTGCATTTCTAACTGATCTTTTTTTATCTGGTCACAACATATGTGTTAGTTGCCTTGGCTGTTTTTCCCTCACTGGGCTCTAAAGAACTGTAGAACCCCCAACAACCCATTATGAGTTGCTTCTTGTTCATGCACTAGTTTGCAAATCCCCCCCCCCCCCCCCCCTCCTCAATTCGGAAAGAAAATTATGGAGCCACCCTCTCGTCTCTATACTATAACACCCTGATATTTGAGGTTGATATGGTATGTACGAATTACTTATTGATAACTTGTGGTTGACCATTATCTTGGAAAACAAATGGTGTTCACTCCCTACATTTACTTGGTATTTGATGAAAAAGATCATTTGTGAACACACACAGGTAATGTGGGGAGCAGTAGAGCGAGCACTTGGTCCAGGTTTCAACAGGGATAAATGTGAGGTAAAGATGATTGGTACACCATTAACACATCAAAGGTTTCTTCGAAGAAATAGGGGAACTTACGGTCCAGCAATTGAAGCTGGCAAAGGCACTTTTCCTGGGCATGCAACTTCTATTCCACAACTATACTGCTGTGGAGATTCTACATTTCCAGGCATTGGAGTTCCTGCTGTTGCTGCAAGTGGAGCCATTGTTGCTAATTCCCTCGTTTCTGTATCTCAACACTCTCAGCTTCTTGATGCGATTGGCATCTAATATTATTAGTCGAATACGTGTATACTGTTTTAGCTGGTATATAAATCTATTCCTCATTGCATACTAGAATTTTCAGCATTCTGGATTGGTTAAACAAATCCTGTATATCAAATGTATAATTCTATTTTATTGACTCCGAATTGAGATGTAAATGATCAGTTTCTCTTGAAAAACTTCATCCTCAGGAAATGATCTAGTGCAACACAAACAAATTCATTCATAACTTGTTCATTAGGGAAAAAAAAAAATCTAGTGCATATGAATTTCGAAATTGACTACAGTATCGCATTGGTCAAGTTTTGTAACATAGCATACAAGTAGAACATACATTTATGATAAAATGGTAACTTTTTAAAAATATACGCTAGTTCTGAATAAGAGGTTGGAGGTTTAAAACTTTAAATAACCTACAAATTACAATGTACAAATGCTACATCAACATTTATACTTAAAAATCTTAATATTCGCCATCCTTGAGAAAAAGAACAAGAACTCCAATTCCATATCTTATACTTTGTATATGATGATTTTTGCCTCAATGTGTATTTGAGGTAAAGATGTTCATGTTTCAACCAGAAATAATTAATAGGAAAGTTGTTGAATTATCTATGTCATCAATTTCATTTTCATCTTGAATATAGCAATAGTTCTTGAAGCGAGAACGAGCTAAACTTAAGTTAGAGCAGTAGTTGGGCCTTAACCAATGAATTTGAAACAATCAACTCACTTTGTTGTTTATTTGGAAATTTGAACTAACACTTTCATCAGTTGGAACCTTCTTTTAGAGTAGGCCACTTACCAAAATTAATAATAAATCCCCCTAAATTAGAAAAAATTCGTAAGATGACTTTATTAATGGTAATTGAAGATGAGTTTTGATCCACGTGAGTTCAATTAATATCTAGTAGTACTCCGTAATATATTAACGTGCACATACTCTAAAGTGAACTAGGTTGATTTGATCTACTCGATATGTAGGACATTTATTTAGAATATATATTATGCACAATTATAAGGTGCTCCTTTTTACAACTTTTGCTTGTAGAATATGTATTCTTAAAAACCTTAATGGTTAAAATTTAATCTCACAAAAGTAACCTAAATAAATTACAACCAATGATTTTACATAAATTGCGTCAATAGAACTATAAACATACATGTTCAGGTATACACTTGTATACCCTTGTTGAGTTGTTGGCTTGCATAGTTGCATGCATGCTGAAGTTGCCCATGGCACTATCCATAAGGTGCATCATCATCTTTCTGAATTCCATTTACTTGAACTATATATTGTACACATTAACTTATTTAAAACTAGTATTAATTTTCATGAACTTAAATCTAGTTAATTTGGAGTAATTATAGTTATGAATTGTCTTATCTTTTATTGTTCCGTAACTTATCTTATCTGAACTTATTAACTTTTATAGATTACAGGTATTTTCCTTTAAAAAGGTGAGGTGAACAATCATTTTGACTTAAAGGGTGGTATCCAAGACCTACAAATCTCATCTACATCATTTGTTTTTATGTGTCTTACTATCTGTCTACATCCAAAAAATACAAATATATGAGTTGGTTTAATTTTAAGTTTCTATATGAGAATATGGAAAGGTAAGCCAAATAAACCTAAAATAGGGAGTATTGCCCTAATATACATCTCTATACTTTCCCACCTAACTAACTATGCTTGTTTAGTGGGCACTTGAATTCACTTCTAATTTCTCCATCATTTATGGGCGGTTAAATTAATAGATGAGACTGAAGCTCAGAAAACTGGGGGCAGAATTTGCTCAACGTATAGAAGATGGGTGAAGATTAGGGAGAAAATTAAGGTTATTTTTTTTTCTTAATCTAAAATATTAGATGGGAAGATCGTAACATTATCAAACATTGCTGCTTGAGTTAAGTAGTGTTTTGACTTGGTGACAGTGATGAAATTAGGATATTAAAAACAGGATATCAACATTATGTTTGAGGTATTAGAGACTATGAGACTGTAAATTACATAGTATTCCATACAAATAGTATAAGTATTGTATATTTTTAAGAGAAAAAAATGTACACGTATCATGAATCCATAATATGAAGAGTCGACTGATGCCTCATCGTGACTTTTCCAATGCTTAGTGACAATAGTACAACTCTAAAACTCATACACTCATCCGTCAAAAGTTGTTGTCAAGCATCCCCTTACTTAGCCTATGATTAAACCATAACATCGATGCTAATACAACTTAATTGATTATCTATAAATACTGACAGGTTTACATTGACATTGGCGTTACTCCTCTATTAAGTCATCAAAATTTGCCATTTCATTTGGCATCAAAACGTACTAGCAGTGAATTAGTGACACATTAGTGATAGTTAATCTAAACACAACAAGTTAGAAACTTGTTTAAGAAATAAATTACTATCTAATTAAGAGACGTAATTTATCAGTGGATAGTATGGTAGTTGGGCTACAGTACTAGGTTTCATACTTTGAATTGTATCACTATTCCCTTTCCTCTCCCTATGATAAGGAGGCCCTTCTTTACTTTACCCTAACATTATGGAATGTCACTATAGAACATGTCAGTATTATGAAAACACATAATATTATAACTATAAAAGTATTGTCCTTGTAAATAAAAAATAAATAAATAAAATATAAAAAAAAAAAATTTACTCTAAGAAAATTAAACATAAAAAAAAAAGTATAACCCAAACCACTTTTTTTTTTTTTTTTTTTTTGGTATTTAAAGAGCCACGAGGGCGAGTGATTAGAATTGATCTCAGGATCACCTAAAATCTGAAAGGAAGCTTTAACCACTTGAATTATCTCTCACTCTCAAACTAGTCTTATGATTTTATAATTAAATGCTTTAATTTCATTTATTTAAACTCTCAAGTCACAAAACTCGATTCCATGACTATGTATTATGTGATTTACGTCATAAGTTATACAAATTAAAGTAATATTTAACCATTGTCCACATAAGTTAACAGAAGGGCCATACGAGTAGCATACTAAGCGTATGGCTTTTAAAACAAGAATATATCCAAGTAGTAAAAAAATCAATTTGGTATGTATGTAATATTGTAATGCTTGTAGGGTTGTAGCAGTAGGTGATAAACTGCTGAATGAACTAGATTAAGTTGCACCAACTTATTTGGTCCCACAACTATCAACACCTTAAAAGTTATTTAGATCAACAATAATTTCCACTTGCTAACCAAAAGCTTGAGTTGATTTAATTAAATGATGTAGGGGAAAATTCAGCGTCATTTCACTGTCTCTGAAGAGCTACTTTAACTAGCAACAGTCCATTTATTAAGAACAAAAAAAGCTTTACACACTTTTTAAAATCTAGCCATTTAAGGGACCAAATAGCAAATTCTACTATGTACAGTTACAAAAGGAAAATGGATATAAATTACTCCGTACTTCTTAATTGTTACTCCGTATGCGTATGCTTAGATAATGACATTCATATTATTCGAGACAACCCAAATTATAATGGTCTAATTTGAAATGAACCAAAATTGATCAAATGCAGATGGACAAGGCCCAAAATTTTACAAGACTATTGTTGATTCATCTATAAGCAATATGACAATAGAATTGAATATGATCAACTAGCTTAACTTGAATCAATATGATCAAAACAAGTTTGAATCAAACATATACGATTTGACTCCTGTTTGCCATCTTAATTTAGTAAAATGCTTCAAGTTAAGGCTTAGATTATCAAAAAAATAAAAAATAAAATATCTAAACTTACTAATTATGAAAAGACGTAAAAAATAAATATCTTTAACACTCTTCAAATCTTCAGCAACCAGAGCTAACTCGTGCCCTTATTAATATTGGATCCTTATGAAATATCTTTTCATTACAACGACCACGCATACAGGCTATTAAGCAAATTAATCCAATATTGCTACTATCAGTAAAATTACAACTTTTTTCATTAGTATACAAACACTAGACATACACCACTATTCATGCTTATATAAGCACTTTTAGGTGAATCTGTTGAATCGTAGCATTGGGTACTCTTATGGTAGATAGGTCATCCAATCCTAACACACCATTATACTAATTAACCAAATGTGAATTAACATTAAAACATTCAATTAAATTTTTCCACCTAAATTATAATACTTGCACGTTCAAGCAAAAGTCCCCTTCATCAAGCAAGTAAATTTTGGCCCCACCAACTTCATTAAATAATGCCTGAAATTTCTAATTAAATGAAGTCCTTCTATAAATAGGGTTCATATTTTCTCAATTACTTGCATCCAATCACCAAAACATTGTCTTTTTTACTTAAAAGAAAATTTTGTCAAATGAGTTCAATCCAATATCCTGAAATATTTCTTGCAATTGTATGTTTTTTTTTCACTTGTTTTTTAACAAGACATGGCATTCCATGGAATTGGCCTATTGTTGGAATGTTACCAAGTCTTTTAATTCACCTTAATAGGGTTCACCACCGATGTGTTGATCTTTTGCAACAAACAAATTGCAACTTTCTACTCATAGGTCCATGGTTTGCTAACATGGACGCCTTGATCACGGCCGATCCCGCCAATATCCAATATATTATGAGCACCAACTTCACGAATTATCCGAAAGGAGAAGAATTCCTTAAGATATTCGATATCTTAGGGGATGGTATCTTTAATTCCGATGGGGAATTGTGGAAGTTCCAAAGGAAGATTACGCGGTCTTTGATTAATCATCGGAGGTTTATTCGATTTTTAGTTAAGGTTACGTATGATAAGGTACAAAATGGATTGGTTCCTATACTTCAACATGCATACAAAGATGGTCATGTTGTAGACTTGCAAGATGTGTTTCAAAGGCTTACCTTTGATTCTACATGCTTGCTAGTCACGGGCCATGACCCGGGTTGTTTATCACTCGAATTCCCGGATGTTCCCTTCTCGAAAGCCCTAGATGATGCGGAGGAAGCAATAGTCCATCGACATGTTCTCCCCGAAAACTTTTGGAAGTTACAAAAGTGGCTTGGATTAGGGCAAGCGGAGAAGCTAAGCCGAGCTTGGAAAGTCCTTGATCACTTCATTGATTGCATTATAACAATGAAGCGCGAAGAACAAAAGAGTGGGAAAATACCAGCCTTAAAGGGAGGAAACGAAGAAGAAGGAGTCGATCTCTTAACATCGTTCCTAAGAGAAGAAGTCGAAACAAGTGCAATCGATATAACCGAAGACAAGTTCCTAAGAGATACGATCCTAAACCTTATGCTAGCAGGACGTGACACAACCGGTTCCGCTCTTACATGGTTCTTTTGGCTAATAACACAAAACCCTAAAGTCGAAGAAAAAGTAAGAGACGAACTAAAAAGCATGATTATACCAAAAGAGGAAGCAAATCAATGGCATGTTTTCCAAATAGAAGAAACCAACAAGCTAACCTATCTTCATGCAGCAATATGCGAGTCATTACGATTATACCCTCCTGTACCATTCCAACACAAATCTCCAATTCAACCCGATACCCTACCAAGCGGCCACCACGTAACCCCAAAGACCAAAATTTTGTTTTCTTTGTACGCCATGGCGCGTATGAAGGGCATATGGGGCGAAGATTGTTTCGAGTTCAAGCCCGAGAGATGGATCACTAAGGAAGGCAAGATTAAGTACGAGCCACCTTATAAGTTCTTATCGTTCAACGCCGGTCCTCGGACTTGTCTAGGGAAAGAAGTGGCTCTTACACAAATGAAGATGGTTGGTGCAACTTTGATACATAACTACAAGTTTCATGTTGTTGATGGACTCCATGCAGAACCAGATTTATCAGTTATTCTTCATATCAAGCATGGATTAAAGGTTAATGTTAGTAACAGATGGAGTATTGCTTGTAATTAATCTTAGAAATTTGATGTTCTTATATTATTTTATTTTTATAATTATATATTATATATTTTGTGTGAGTCGACAATTGTATGGGAAGCCATGTTATTAAGTTCTGAACAGCAAACAGTTAATGCAAAAGATGATAGAATTCTGTAATATCAGATTTTATGTATCCTTTATATGATGTAGTATGTACTTTATATATGAAATATAGTATCAGAATTTATGTTAACTATATAAACCGTCAGACAAAAAAAAAAAAAAAAAAATACAGTATGTTTATTTATTACAGTATAAAAAATTAAGGGGAGTTTATTTACTACAGTATCTTCGACTTCTTTTCTCAACTCCTAACTGTCTAGATTTATAAGGAATACCATGTTTGTGAAGAACTGAAGGATATCAAGGGCCCTAACAATCGAGGAAAGAATTTTGACCAAGGGCGTGTTCTATGATTCTATCTACCACTTTTTCACTTATGTAGACTTATGTAAACTTATTCAAACCTAACTTAACTTTTCAAAATTGAACCTATTAAAACTTATTTTAGTTATAAGTTGAATAAACTTCTCCAAATCTAGCTTAACTCTTCAAAACTGAACTAGTTTCTTATTAGAACTTATTTTAGTTATAAGTTGAATAACCCTTATTAATCTAATCAAAACTTATTTTTCCTTAACTCGTAAGATGTCTAAGAGCTTAGAGTGGAAAGTTAGGAAAGGTAGTTGTCTTAGAGTCATTGTCTGATTAGGGACCACTAGGTAAGAGAGGGCCAATTCTGAATCAAGCAACGGTCTTCAGCAAAATGCTCAACTAACCTCTAGGCTTCCTAGAATGGTGCATAAATCTGTGAACTGTCACTCTAGGAGTCAGATTATTTACTACTCAAGTGTTGTTTCTTCTTCAAACTAAAGTACCAGTAGCATTGAAAGTTTGAAATTACTCAATAGCTCCCTTTGTTATGTGGGGCTGTGTTTGCGCACAAGTTTCAAGAAGATTACAAATAGGTAAAAATGAGTTCGGGTATCTTTTAAGAACTTATTCCCTCTGTCTTTAAAAAATCACCCACTTAAAAAATACGCCTCATTTTTAATAGAATAAGACAATAGAGGTAAGGTGGTCAATAGGGTATATGAAAAAATGAGTCCGAGTATCATCTAAGAATGTATTCCCTCCGTCTTTAAAAAATTACCCCACTTAAAAAACACACCTCACTGTTAATAAAATAAGACAACAGAGCAATCAAAAGGGTATGTTGAATGAGTATATTATACGTAGTATTTACTTCTTTAGTTCTACGTAGTATTTACTTCTTTAATTCAATGTGATATTCAATTTTGGATTTGGAGCTCATAGTATTGTAATTTAGGAGATTATTCTCACAGTTCGGAAAGAAAAAAGGGGTTATGAAGCAGTTTCCCAGTACATCAAGTTTCATATGAGGCGACACGACTCCCTTATGCCTGAGTGGCTACGTTTATACTTAAGTATCATACATGTTTCTTGGTGCTAAGTTAGTGTCATTACGTGTTATTATCCTTGTTTATAGTTATATCTGATGTTTGTTGCGCATATTGTGAAGGTTAGTCTAGATCAAGTCTTGGGGCTTCGGACGCCCTACGTGCAAGCTGCACCCGCCCTGTGACAACCTGCTACATTAAACCTCACTTTAGCAATTTAGCCTACTTTCCCTCAATAAGGACCACACTTTAAAGCTTTTTTGTTGATAGGCCTTCAAACTCATACTTTTTTTTATTTCTCCTAGTCCAGCCAATTTGTATCAAAATAGTAAAGCCCAAATGATATCATAACATCGGTCCAAAGTGTATAACTTCTAACTATTATACTGAAAATAGGCCCAAATCATGCCTCCCGTGATTTCTCCATCTTAATTTTTATGAAAGCTTAGGTAAACCATAAACCAAAAAAATAAACCTTTTTTATATAGCACCAAGGAAAATTTCAACCCTATACGGAGCGTTTGAAATGTGGGAATGGGAGTTTGGGGATTAAAAGGTGGAAATGGAATGGGAATTAATTGATGGTAATACATGAAAATATGCTAATACCTTGTTTGGATAGTGGGTGGGAATATATATGAAATAAATAACAATTTTACAAAAATACTCTTACTAACATTTCTTTTTCATTCATTTCATTAATGGCAAAAATGTCATTTTATACCTATTCCCATTCCCATCTATTTACTACCATTCCCATTCCCATCAAATAAACAAGGCTTTTTTCTTCAATTGGGATTAAAACTCCCAATCCCCCCTCAATTCCCACATACCAAACACCACCACAGGGTGCTCTCATTTGCTTACTTTTTGCTTGTGAAAGGCAAAGACTGCAGCGGAGTTGGCCACTCCTCCACAGACTACCAAAGGTAATCTTCAGTTCGAGCGGGTTTCACAATTCACTTTCAGTCGAAATTTTGGAGCAAACTAATTTTTCCTTGCTCAAATGCCCTCGGTTTGCTAATATGGACATAATGGTCAGCCTTAATGATTGCCAATCAACTACATCATGATATCCAACAAATCTAACTCCCCAGAAAAATCTCAGCTTTGAAAGATACTCCGTATTCAACATCTTGGGTTACAGATCTTCAACTGTGACTGAGATTTGTGGAGACACCACAGACAACTCAGTATTTTATAACAAATTTAATGATTGTGCTCTCCACAATGAAGGCTACACAGGCTAAGGTGGAACAAAGGCTAGACGGTAGACATAGATAAATAGGGCAAAAACATGACCTTATTAGATGCGTTTCAGAGGTTAATGTTCGAAGCTACCTACATACTTGTTAGTTGTTATGGACCATGATCCAGGTTTTAAGAAGAGACAAGATCTAAGCAGCAAAATTATAATATGAACTTCAGAAAACTGAGAAGGTAGGTCGACCTCTTGACATCAAACTTTGGTGCAAAGAAACTATACTAAAGAAATGTTACCAAAGCAATATCGTAAAAGGAACAAAGTTGTGCAAAAGAAACAAAGTAATTCTCAAGTGAGATTAATGATGCCAGTGGGAGTTGTAAGACTAGATGGGTGCTGGAACAGCTAAAGCCACATGGCTATGTCCTATTTTGTATGTGATCTAAAGTGAGAGGAAAGTGAATAACTAGCCAAATAGTAAGCATAAGGTATGCGATCAAATTCTGAGCTAACTTCAAGTGTTTACCTACTCGTGCCATTATTTTTGCCCTCTTTCATCAAATTGCTAACCTTTACAAGTTCATGTGTATATCTTTAAGACACAAGGGTGGAAATGATGATGTGTATACTAACTCTCATGAGTCTCATCACTCTTTTTTCAGAATAACAATGTTGAAAACATAGATGGGTTCCAAGCAAGTACTAGTGCAGCTGTGACATTGCTTGATATACATATTGCTAGGAGACAATAAAGAAAGACATTTGGGGTAAATGGACTATGGTCACTATTGATTGACAAACAACAATAACAAATTTACAAGTTCAGATTCCAAAACTATGAAAATCAAAAAATAGGGAAAAATGAGAAATGAAAGTATTCTATAAATTAAGAGAGATAACCTAGGCGAGATGATTCAGTCAAAGGCTTCTCAAACTGTGCTATAACAGTCTCCTCTGCCACAGTCCACCCATCCCAATTGGGCATTTCAGAATCCACCCTCTGAAAGCAGCACTGTGAATACCATACAGCATACACACCAATACACCATAAGAACACTAGAATAAAACACTCCAAAGCAGGCAATGCATCTTGCAATTAGCAAAACAATAAAAGAGTAACACAGAACTAGGAACAGTGGCTGCACACACGGTGAAAGGAAGTTGTTGCTGATGAACAAATTAAGCTATCATAAATAAACTAGTAGCAGCCATAACAGGTCCACTAGATAGCATACGATGATGAAAGAAACACAGCTCAGTGACTACCTAAGGGCATGCTTGGATTGGGGATAATGAGTTGAGAGGGTAACAGTACAAACAAGACACAAACAAAGGAAAATGAAAAAGAGTAGAGGTGGAGGTCCATGGGCTGAGAATCATGAGATATTGTAGTATGAGGGAGGAATGAGGGAAATTTAACCCCATTTTAGGGTTATTGTTACCCGATACCCACCATCCCTAAAATGGAGGTACAAACTTCTCAGCCATGGCTTATAGTGGACTGGATACTATGCCTGATTTAAAAATGAACAAGATGCTATGGCTCTGCAACTCGCTGGAGTGAGGTAAGCCCAAGTTCATATCAAAGCAGAAGAAAAAATGACTGGTGGATAATTTCTCAGCCATCGCTTACAGTGGACAAACGATGTTTTGCTTTAAACTTCCCTCTACATCTTGCTTGTTTTGGAGTAGTATGAAGGCAATGTGTATTAAATCTAGGTTCTCAAAGAAACAAACTCTCTGCTCTTATAGAGGTAAGGCTTCATGCATTTTAGATGACCCACTCAAATTGGAATGATTTTAAGGTGTATTTCTGCGGCAATTATAAAGCAAGCAGCAGCTTGATTGCTTTCTAGTATGCTAAGAACAGATAAAACAAAATTTACAGTATTAACATTCTTACCTTTGAACATGTATATACAATAAGTGTCATCCAATTCCAATTCTCCAACAAATCTTTTTGTCCCCCAGTAGCTCCTTCTTGTAGAAAATAAACTAACGGAGACATAAACTGCAACTCATGATGTCTTGGTTCACCACAAAGGCCACATGTAGTAGGCTCAGTCACATCTCCACTAGCCAACAGTGGTTTTCCTCCAAAGGAATATCTAAAACAAAGCATTGTCAGAAAACAACTTTTACATGCAAGAAAGGAAAGGAGAAGAAAAGAATAGTAATATGTAATTAGTCTACTATATCACAAGTCACTAGATCTAGAACATAATATCCTGCCGCTAGCAAACTTTCTCAACACTCCCCCCCCCCCCACGCACACACACACTTCCCTTCTCTTTAGGGACATGGGTGTGCATACAGCAAACTTCGCACTGCTCTGACTTTGTTATAGCTTATGATGTTTCATTATCTTTTGTCCTCTGTAGAATAGCTCAACCAGGAATCTCTGATAATTGAAGATTAAGAATAGGCATCTATAATATACACGTAATGTAAGATTGAGCCATTATTATTATCAAGATCAGACCAATTCTCCACATCTTTCTGGAGATTAATACCTGAAACATTGCTCAGGGCATTTGTCCAGTCTTTTCTTGAACTTCAGGTAGATCCTATCTGCATTTAAAGCTCGGTCATACTCATAGCCTTCCTCTTCCCAGGTTTCTTCCTGTATTGGATCAGTATAGTCCTTATAATCTTGTGCCTCCTTGACTGAAAGTGAAGGATAATTTGAACTAACAGCTGATGGATTTTGAGATGATTTATCCTCTTGACTGTATATATAGAAGCAAGGCAGCACTGCAATCAATCCAGAAATTATTCATCCTCGGAGAAGAAACAAATTAATTTGTAATGACAGAAATAAGTACAGAAAGAGTCGGAAACAGGAGTCCAACAAAATAAAAAATGACAAAGCAGGGAAATAAGTAGAAAAGGATGAAAAGAACTGCTAAAACTTAAAAGTGCTCCAAATAAGCACGAAGTAAGACTTATGCCATGTTTAGTTCACCTTATTTCAGGACCTTATTGTTTATTTCAGGTCAGAAAAAATATTGTTTTATGTAAAAAATTTATCGCTAAATATCCACATATTATTACGAATCTGACAAGACTCCACTTGATACATTTTTTCTTTATAGATTAGCATATATATATAAGGTCAAAGTTTGATCAAATCACACAATCAAAGATTTATAAGCATCACGAAAGGGTCTGCTACTTATAACTCCACTAACAAACCTTGTCAAAAATGATCTAAAAGGGAAGTTGGACAGGACAATCTTTCCATAGTATAGGGAAGTATGTGCCATAAACAAGAAGCAGAAAAAGAAAAAAAAAAAAAAAAAAAACACCTCTACAACAGTAGCAAAAACAATACGCAAGGTAGGAAACTCCATAGAAACTATGTTTATCCATAATCACAGGACCTTCTTTGAAACCTTAGGTATCCAAAGAATCTGAATAAAAATTTAAGGGCCTTTACTACCAGCCAATTACTTTGTAACTTCCATCCTCTTTTCCTTCATCACTGCTACACCATGATCTACCAATATTATCACCCTTTTACAGGCAGCATATCTTTTTTGGGTAAAGGTAAATTCTTAAGACCATAAACAAAGTGAAACCCTTGTCCCTAAACTCCTTGCTGGAAAAGAGTTCAGGTTTATTTATTCATCATTTAAGCAACTACTACCCTTTTTAAGAATGGAATTACAGATCCTTAAACTACCAATTACTTTATTAGATTATCATTTTTTGAACCTTTTGATTTTATAAAGTTCTAACTCTAGCATTAGAAATTAAGTAGGGATTCCAGACTGGTCCACTATTCCAATTACAGGACAAGATATACCATCAAGTCCTAAAGAATTTGCACACTTTAGAGTGTGTCAATATTTGATAACTTGTAGTTTTTTAACCAAGTGCAAAAGAAAGGTTAAGGAAGTAAGGAACCACCAAATGAGTCAATAAAATCCAAATCAAGCTCAAGTTCATTTTTTATACATGTCAAACTTACGCAGGAAATTAAACAAAGAAAATTTTCCACAACAGCCATTGATTTACCTATTGTTCGGTACTTCGGTTATGAGACCAATGCTAGGAAAAGGAGGAGGTACAAACTTTAGGTACAACCCTAGTTGTGGTAATCAATATGTCACCATCTGTCATGCAAGAAAGATTAGATGCTAACAACTATTTGATGCTCAAGTCTAGACAGAGTTTAAGAAATTATTTCTGCCTTCAACCGCCTTCTTAAAAAATAATGTGTTGTTCAAGTTTCTCAGCATTGAGTTCAAATCACTCTACAGCAACTTAAAGTCGTATAGACAATATGTTACCTAAACATAATTCTGAGTTATGCATTCAAAACTCTAAAGACCTGAAAGAGTTGTTCTGGAAAAAGTGAAAATCTTACCAATAGTACCGGAGTCAACTTTTCTATGATCCAGCTTTAATGAAAGAGGTCTTGAATTAGTCTTGGTTTTTCTTTTTCCTTTTTGTTTAGTTCGCTTTGAAGCAAGGCTTGCAGCTTCAAAAAGAACCTTACTCAATTCCTCCAGGCTTATATCATCATCTGAATCCTTAATTTCAGAAGCTGGAGATGATACAATGGAAGGACCTGCTTCTGAGCCAACAAGTTCTGGTTCCCCACAACTGCCAGGCTTCTGAACACGAATAGCACGCCAGCTATAAGGTCATCAAACTCATGAGGAAACAAGCAATAGAACACTCAACTGTAACCATAAACACTCAAAAAAAATTACAAACACGGAAATACCTTCCACAGGGTGAATTCAGGCAGCCAAATACATATATTACGCGCTCTTCAATCTTCAGAGCTGAATCATGAATTGGTGCATATACCTATAATTTTAAAAAATGACTATTATCTCGGTATTCAGATGTTTTAAAGAACACACATTATCCATCTCTTAGAACAATTACCTGTGAAATTAGGCACATTTTTCTGTTACACAAACCACACTCGAGGAAATCCGATCCTAACAATGACTCAGGGAAAGGCCAGTCCTACAACAGATGCAGTAAGATTAACTAATACTCGTACTCTCCGTAATTCGTATTAAATCCGAAATTAAAGGGTGCCGAGCAATCGAAAATTTAGTGTAAGCAATAATTCTTACAGGATAACCTCCAATTTTTGTAGTATAATGATCAGCAATCCCTAGATTATCATCAGCCCAAGGTCCAGGTAAACCAAGTATCACCTCCTTCATAGCTTTATCTACTAGAAAGGTAAATACAGCAATCAAATACTTAAATTAAAGTTGCATAAAAGTTATTAAACTTCATTCCCAAAAGATTATACTATAAACATTACAAATTATCACATAAACTCAATTCACAATAATATCTCATTTTATTAAAAATAAATGAATAAAATCCCAGCAGAAGAACAATTCTTTCCATACTAACCTTACAAGATTGAAGCAATAATCTGCAAATTAACAAAAAGTTTGTTAATTGAATTATACGTAACTTTTTTTGTATATGTATATTGATTGGTCTGCGTTGGCTACTACTGTTGGATTCGAAGAAACGATGAAGAATTAGAGAAAATAATTTAAGTTGAGAATGAAAAAAAAAAAAAAAAAAAAAAAAAAAAAAAGAGGGTTTAGGGTTTAACATTTGAGTTACCTGCTGCTGCTTTTCAAGTTTCCTACTTTAGGCTACTTACATACAGTCTTCTTCTCCTTAATTTGGGTATGTATTTCTCTCGGAAAAAATACAAGCTTGTAATTAAATGCCATAATTTTGCACCATTTCATGATACCCTAAAAGTCAAAAACTATTGTTGTACTTTTGCTCTGCTCTAGTGAAATCTGCTTTTGGATTAAAAATAATTAATAATAATAATAATAATAATAATTAATATTTAATAATCAAGTAATTAATATTTAATAATCATAATAATAATTAATAATTCACAATAAAAATAATTAATATTTAATAATAATATCAATTAATAAATAATAATTTATAACAATTTCTAATATTTAACGATCATAATAATAACACTTAATTTTTTATTTTTTTTTTGAGGGAATCATAATACTTAATATTTATTAATAATACTAAATATATAATATTATTTTATAATAATAACAAATGATATAAAATAGATATGTGCTTGTAATAATTTAAAGATGTTAAACTATTGTCTTTTATCTTCTACTATTAAGACATGTTAAAAATGGTACACATCTGTTTATGTTTTCATTCACCTAAACCAATGGTATGCGCTTCTTAATAATAATAATAATAATAATAATAATAATAATAATAATAATAAAAAAAAAAAAAAAAAAAAAAAATCTGCTCTGCTCTGCTGAATCTGCTATGCCCAGAAGCTCAAAAGGATAGGGTCTTACCTTAAAATATTACTATAAATTTGGCTCCCTCATTTCTTTTACCTGGCCTTTCCATGATTTATCCTTACAATTTTGGCGGTTAATTTGAGTATTCACATCGGGTCTTAACTCATATCGTGACAATTTGATATCTAATTTAGTTTAGGTTATGTTAATTCATGTTATATCGATTCATTTAATATTGTAGATGTAGGTCGGGGTTGGTTCGAGTCAAAATGGTTAGTATGTGGCAAATGGTTCTGCTCGCAACAAAATTCATTTGGCACTAGATTAAGGCAAGTAAATGTACATAATTAACTCTTTTCTTTCATTTTAAATTATTTATACGAAGTATATTTTATCATCACACCAATCATATTTTTATAGCATTCTCACTTTCTTACACCTACTTATTAATTTAGAAACAATATTTGATAACAAATGAATTTAAGCAACCGAAGGGAGGTGAGAGCAAGTTATTTATATTAGTGTATTTTGGTGCGAATGGTTTATACTATTAACGTATACAAGTATTGAAAAAAAAATGGTTGAAAGCACAACAACATTAGTTTTGCTGCATAAGTACATATATTGCATAGTTTATGTAAATTATTTTTGTCCATGCCATATATTGTATCAAATCTCGTATACATTATTTATATTTTAATGTAATATATCCAGACTTCTATCAAACAAATTAAAACAATAACTACCCTTTATGTTGTTTTGTCTATATGAGTCACCAAATTATGACCTTGTAAATATATGCTCTACAAATATAAAGGTACTGCCACCCAAAAAATAATCTAGTCACACATATGTCACAAACGAAGTATATGACATAAGATACATTCAAACGTGAATTATAACATCTAATATATTTGGGTTGGATTGCATTTATTCTTTTGTTTTAAAAAAAATAATACATATAAACATCAATTAATAATTCTCACATTACTTAGATATCTACACAATTCGATCATACACTAATATTTTTCCATATAAGACAAACCAAATTTCAATCATATTTTTGTAAATTTAATTTGGTGGTAAGATATATTTGCGTCTACCTATATAATAAAACATTAAAACTACATGCTAGATTATCAAGATTTTTATAGTATAACTTTTTATCTATATTTATATCTTTGTCAATATATATATATATATATATATATATATATATATATATATATATATATATATATATATATATATATATATAAGTATTTGAAAAATAACAGAATAAAATACTGTACTATATAAATCATACCAATTTTTTATTTAATAGTTTAAGCTGTGGAGGAGTGGACAATCTGGGCATTGTTGTTTTGTTAGTGACAGAATAGTTTTGTAGTTTTGTACGAGCATTATTGTATTACAAAATATGAAAGATATTAAAAGTTTCTTTAAAATAGAGATTGTACAAGAATAAAATAGGTTTGAGGACGGCAAAACCCAACCATGAAAAGAGGAAAGAAAGGAATTAAGGAAAGCTTAAAAAGGAATTGGCAGAATAAACCACTTAATTAAACTATGAAGCCAACTACCATGGGCGGCACCGAAAATCATCGATTATCACAGCTCTCATTGAAACACTGCTTCACATTTAAAAATGTATACTGCCCCTGTCACATAATTCCTTATCCAAATTCTGTCAACCCACGAGTTTAATACTCCCTTCGTTTTTTAAGTGTCCCGTTAAAGCTTAACATACATGCCGATATAAAATTTTAACCAACAATATCTTTAGTTTTACTCTTTGTGTTTTTATGAGTGTTACACTTTGACCAAACACGCATTCGAGACATAACTTTGACCATCAATTTGTTTAATTATATGTTAGTAAAACAAATTATTGGAAAATCTTATATATATATATATATATATATATATATATATATATATATATATATATATAAAGTAGGCATTTTTTAAGAGCATTCAGAACGCCACGTAAGAAATATACGTATTTCGACCAATAAGAAGAAAGATTTGTATTTTATTTTTGAAATAAAAAATTATGTCGCCACCTAGATAAAAGTAACGAATTAGATTTGATATATCTAAAATTTTAATGCCACGTAGATTATAATCCACGAATTAAATTATTTTAATGAAAAAAATAAAGTAAAAATATAGGAAAAGATAAATTTATTAATTCAATACTACGTATATAAGAAATCCAAAAAAATATACTAAAATATATTTAAATGATAAATGCTTATAATAAAGTTTGATACCTATCATTATAAGATAAATTTTGATAGTATTTATGATAAGTAATACAATTTGTTCGTTAATTATAATTAAATTAAAATTTGTGATACCTACCATTATAAATTGACACATCATACGACACAAACAAAATTTCGTATCAATAAAAAACCCCATCAAGCGAATTTTGTGTTAGTAATTTTGTGTTAATTTTTTGTCATCAATGGCCAGGTAATTTTTAGCTTAATTTTTAAAATCCTATGTTTAAATTAGTATTTCTAATTATTACTTTCATTGTATTAATTTGGGATACTCAGCGATTTATATGTTTATGTTTTATTTACTAAATGTTTTTTACATGCAGATCTAACACATCATACGACACAAATAAAATTTTGCATGAATACAAAACCCCATCAAGCGAATTTTGTGTTAGTTTTAGGTCATCAATGTTCGGGTAATTTTTAAAATCTTATGTTTAAATTTATATTTGTAATTATTAGTTACATTGTATTTATTTAGGATACATAACTATTATTTGTTTATGTAATGGCATACGATTAGATGTTGTATACTTAATATATGGATGGCTTTGGTTATTTTTGGAGATAGATGATGAAAAAATTACAATGCATACATCTGATTTTATATCGCAACAATTTTTCATTTATTGGTAAATATATTGATTTATTTTATATAAATGTAAAGATTTAATTTATATCAATTTCAATTTAGCTGACAATTTAAGGTTCAATTTATCCATTGATGTAGTAGGTTAGTTGTGGACGGGGTTGGTGATTCTATCGAAATAAAAGATATGGTAAAACAATGAATAATGATTTAGGATTTAAATTATTAAAAATCTATCATTTCATATTAAAGATTTTATATAATGGAAAAAATATCATATTTACAATTTATTTATATTTAATAAATTCATTATAAATTATAGTAAAAAAAAAGAAATATTAAACTTTTATAATTTTGTCTGAATTATTAAATACAATAAATCAAATAATTAAAAATCTTAGGTGAAAAAACTGTGCATCGCACGGGTTTCCATCTAGTTGATATTATGAAAGTATATACTCCATATTATATAACGAACCTGACAATATATTATACAATAATATTCGTTTTTTATATCAATAATTATTACGTGAATAGTGAAAAAAGTCCAAGTGTAACACAAAAAAAAAAAAAATAAATAAATAAATAAAACACGAAGAAAATATCAATAAGTATAAATTATAACAATTGAATGTTATTGCTACCACTTACTATTTCCATCTATTGAAAATTTTCACTTTTGCTACCACTCAAACACCCCTATTTCACTTTTGCTACAACTCTAAATTTTTATTTTATTTTATTACCACCTAAAAGTAAAAATCATATGTTTTGCTACCACTTACTATTTCCGTTAGTGGGGTCCAACCACCGTCCAGCCACCCCTCGCTCCTTCCAGCCACCCTTGCTCCCTGCTCACACCGATCCCCTTCCCTGGTCCCCCAACCACGCTGCCCCCACTCACGCACTAATTCACCAACCCAAAGGCAACCTCCAGCCCACATCAATCTCCCCTCCTCCCCGCAGCAATCCACGCCACAAACAACAAGCATTGTCAACCACAACCCCGATTAAGTTGTTGCCGCACATCCTCCAGTCCCTCAGTCACCGCAGCAGCCGTACGGACCTCAGCAATTCCAGCCACCTCAGGCCGCTACAAACTACAACCACTCCAACATCGAAACCACCACAATCACTGCCCAAGTCAGCGCCCAGCAACTTTCCCCTGTTTTACTACCTCACGCAACAACACCTTGCCCCACCATCAATCACCAACAGCCTACACTCCCCTACAACGAACACCCAGCAGCCGTAATTGCTTCGGTACCCCCAAAATAGAATAAAATCAGAGCAAATTGCATATTCGACAAAGTTCGGGGGCGAACGGACCAGAAGTTTAATTTGGTCGAACCTAAACAATCAAAATTCCCCTTTCCTACTCTCGGCGCCGGAACTTGCTCAATCTCAGGTGGAAAGTGGGGGCAGCGTGGGTGGGGGAGAGAGAGGGGGGTCGCGTTGTCGGGGAATCAATCCGTTTAGGGTGGTTTTAAGGGTGGTGTTTAGGGTAAGGGGTGCTGGTTTTGGGTGGGGGAAACGGGGTCGCCGGCATCGAGAAATCGTTTGGGCGCCGGCAGCCGACACGGAGGGGAAGGGGTGGCTGACGGGCTGGAATGGCTGAGATTTTGTTTAAGTTTTTATTTGTTTTTTAATAAATTAAATTATTATTTAATGAGATAATGAGTCTCACTTAACGGAACCCAAATGGTTTCTGTTAAGTGGTAGCTAAAGTTATATGTTGTAACTTTTGGTGGTAGCAAAATAAAATAAAATTTTAGATGGGTAGAAAAAGTGAAATAGGAGTGTTTGAGTGGTAGCAAAAGTGAAAATTTCCTAATTTATTTATTGAGACAATTTCAATAAGTACCCACCAGAATAAAAAAATTTCTTAGTTATAATGCACAAACATTGATCAAAGTGGGACAAATACCGTTTTTCTGGTCCAGTATTTGCAGATCAGATACTTTGAGAGTGAGGGGGAAAGCCGGGAAGGGTAAGAGATCCCCCACCCTCAAAATATCTCTAATAGTGATTGAAGTATTGAACTCCTAATCTCAAAGGTGAAAGGTGCAATTTTTCCTACTAAATCAAGGCTACCAAGCTTAACTTGGTACATTCGTAATTTGAATTAGAGAAAATACGGAGTAGAAAGAAATACTTGTACTAATACTAGGGAGAAAGTAAAGAGTAGAAAGATGGAAAGTACGTGAATGGTGAAACACGTAAACAACACGAAGAAGGAAATGGCGGTTACGTAAATAATATCAACATAAGGTGTATAAGTGTATTGTAGTACATATAAAACCCCGTAGGTAAAATTTATAAAAAAAAAAATAAAAAATAAAAATGGATATCCGTAGAAAGCAGACGCGATATCCGTAGATTTATAACGTCAGACATCCCAGCGCCTTTATTTATCTTCCTTCTGTCACTCTGCTGTCTTACTTTCTCTCTCTTCTCTTCAAAACATAACTTCTCTTCTTCTTCTTCTTTCTACTTCCCCCTTACTTTCAACTTTCTACTTCCGCCTTACTTTTTCCTTAATTTGCTTCAATTATTCATTTTAATGGAAGATCGCAAAGATAAAGAGGTACCTTTTGCTAATTTCTCTTGAATTTCAGCTAATTTTAGTTTAATTTATACAGGTTGATCGTTATTTAACTGTTAATTACTTCGATTTTTATTGTGTTCTACGTAAACTGATTGTGTTTCTCCTCATTATCTGAATGAATTTGTTGATGCTACTTGTTTTATCAATCCCTCTGTCTCTAAAAGTTCACACAGAAAAGTCAAAACAGGAACAACTTTTTGAGACGGAACGATCATCGACGCTTTCACACACTCGAGCTGAGTTTTAATTTAAAATTTGTGTTTTAATTTTAAAATTTGAACATTCATCGTACCGACGCTTAATTTGACACACTCGAGCTGATTTTGCAAGTTATTTCGATTTTTACTCGTAATATTGCTGATGGTTTAAAAATTCATTTTACCGACGCTTTGAGATACGAGATACTCGAACTGATTTTGTATTCACTATTTCAATTTTTTTTACTGATTGTTGTTGATTTGAACATCCGTTATATCGACGCTTTGACTGATTGACACACTATAGCTGATTTTGCATGTCGATTTATTATTATTATTATTTTTAATTTGTTAATTTTCTGGTTGGTGATGATTTTGTGACAATGAAATTTCGAGGAATCCAACAAAATTAGCTTAGCTGTGTAACAGTATACATGACTGTGCTAATAGTTCGAAAATTTTGACTTTTCTTTTTGAAAGGATAAAAAATCTGAACTCCTATAATGGGTGGTTGTCACAAAATTTTGAATTCAAAGTCTAGAATGGCGAACTCGATGAGTTGATAATAATTGTATCATTATATGTACGTAGTATAATATTTGATTAGGAAGGCGTATATTAGTCGCGTAAAATTACTTCACTAACATCAAGAATAAACGCGCTGATGTTGCTTAGTTAAATAAATAAATTTGTGGATTATTGTTGAAAAGATCGCCGTAATAGGGTGTTAGATTCTGAATAGTTTATAGATTTTGAATAGTTTATAGCTTGACTGGTTCGAAGATTATGCAAGTTTGTGTTGTTTCTTAATTTTATCGCTTTAATCGAATATTGTTTCTTGTATTAGCTGGGAAAAATGGTTTGTTTAATTAGGAGGTTAAGGTGACAGCTTTTTAGGATATATCATGGTCTTCATGAGGATATGTTATGGTTTTGATGAGTCGTGTTATGTTTTTCTTTCGGCTATTGAGAATCTGTTACTTCAACCACTTCCACTTTAATAATACCAAGTATCGTAGCTGTGTTTGGCAATTAATTGTTGGCTAGTTCAGCTATTTGTATTGGCTATCTTGCCTATCTATATTGGTTCTTTAAGTTAACTTGTAGTGTTGGCCGTTTATAAAGATATTTGGTAAAGTTAGTTGTTAGGTGTTAGTGTAATATGGAGTACAAAATGACTAACTTTTTGGATAAAATGTCACTACAATAAGCTATTCTCTCTCTATACTCTTGTCGAGTTTGTCAGCTTGCTGAAAAATCATTTGCTTAAATTTGTTTGTTGTTTGCCCAAATGTAATAGCTAAAAAGCGAAAACCATTTACCTAACATGATCATTGTATATTTGTATGCTATTTGTCACTCGTGATTTTATTGCAACAAGTAAAATGTTAATGAACTATGAAACATTGAAATTTGCTTTGATACTATGAAACAAAGTTATACTTTGTACACCATAATATCAATGTATCATAGGGATATGTTATTATTGCGCCTTTCCAAGTTTTTTTCTCCATAAAATCATTAAAATTTGTACTGTACTTGTGAGTCTTGTTTCTTCTGTCTCCCTTTGTATTTATTTATATGGAGCACTGATGTTTGTGGGTTGCTGGGACATGTTGGCTAAATTGCTGAAACTTCTTTTTATGCTTTTAAGGTTTCTTGAGGATTTAAAAACATAGGGTTCATCACTGCTGAAATTTCGTTTTGAATTTAATTATTCATTGGAAGCTGATTATAGTCTTGATCATTGCAAATTTTGACATTGGAAATTATTTTCTTGATCAGAGAAATGCACCATGGTTATCTGTGCCACAATTCGGAGAATGGGACCAGAAGGGACCATTGCCAGATTACTCTCTTGATTTCTCAAAAATTAGAGAAATGAGGAAACAAAATAAAAGAGATCCTTCAAGGGCTAGTCTGGGTAATGAAGAAGATTTCATTAATCCAACTGCTCCTGCTAACAACAAAGTAAACGATGACGAACAGCAGCATTTCAATCAAAACCACTCTCCAACTGTAAGATTTTGCTCAAATGGCTTTATCTAGTCGTTTTAACATGCACCTGTCCGGGTTGTTTAGACTTGCTAGATCATACTTTTTGGCATTAATGTTTTGTTTATCTACTTTTATATTACAAAAAGCTGCTTAATTTTAATATATTTTGATGTGGCTTCTAGCACGGGATTGGTCAGTTAAGAGGACAGTTCCATCATTAGATAAAGAAACTAAGCATGAAAATGGCATTCATATGGTTGGATGCTTAATGGCCTTAATCAATAACTGTAAAACAGTACAAGCATGTGGGCCTTGTGTTTGTTGTGTATGCAACTTGGAGCAATATAAAAGAAAATACTTTGGCATTATATTGAATGTAGCAATTCATATCTTGCAGCAAAAAAAGCTAGTCATTAATTCATTATGTATGCATGTATTAATGTTTCCCAATTTGCTGTTTGATATGCTTCATTCTTTTTTACGTGACAATCTGTAGTTTAACTTTACTTTTGATGTCAAGGTTAATATGTTTGCTTGGGTATAATAACTGTGTAACCGCAGGTAATACCGTAATGGGGGCCTCCAATAATTAATAAAGGCAATGTATAAATGGTGGGTTTGGGCCGTGGGGATTAGTGGTGCGCCAAAATCTAATCCTTTTCTGTGACAGATTTTCTTAAGGGCTGGTTGGTATATTAACTACAAAAGCATATCCTTATGGTCAGTGACCCAATTGTCATGTGACTGTACCCGATAAATGAGGGAATTGCAGTTTTACAACAGAAACATGTTACTTCATGTGTTTTGTATTTGCAAGATGGCAACTATTATCTCACATGATTTGTACTAGTTAATTGGGTATCTTCCCCAGCATATGGGGATTCAGAAGTCTCATGCAGTCATGCTATGCATAAATTTGATTAAAGTATATGTGGCTCTTGCTTGTTACTGTATGATGTTTTCGCATCGCTTGAATGAGATTTTGCACCACCTGGGCAATCTTATGTTCAATTGGACTATGTTAATAATCGTCTATATCAAATTAACAATTGCTAGTGCTGCACCTAGATCAGCTATTTTGTCATCTTTAATGAGATCGGATCTGGTACAAGATTTTTTAAGGGTTCTTGCATTAAAAATTCATGTGTGATAGAGTGGGAAACTGTGTTATCCGTCGTAGATAAACCCAAATCTATGTTGAGTTCTGCTAGTTTGAAATTGTTTATGTACAAGAAAGGAAAGATCCAGACCGCAGACTGTTTTGATGTTTATTATAATGTTCGTGTTCGTGGTGCTAGAATTGGTTCTTAAAAATCAACTTCTACATCTATTGCTTTACCAATCATTTATTTACATTTTTTCTTATTGTTTGCAGCCGAGAAAGAGCTTCCTCAGCTACTTCAATTGCTGCGTAAGAGCCTAAGTGTCGGAGACAAAATCTAAGTGCTACAATGCTGATGTATGCAGACCCTGTATCTAAATCTTCTTATTATCCAGCAGCTTCCTGATCCTCTACTTTTCTTTGGCTTTTCACACGGCAATGGCCTGTTTTTCAGTTGTATTTTGTACTATCCTTTTGGCCAAATGAACTGTCTTCAAGAGTTCACTTCAAAGCAAGAAGTGGAATTTGCCCTTCATAAAAATATTTGTTTCTGACCTTAAGTAGTCTTATCTTATTTGTTCAAGCCAAAAACCGGAAACAATAACAATTTGTCAAATATCAGTCTGAATGTATTTATGGAGTGTAGACGCGATTGTGAGTTCAAGGAGTATAATGTGTTAAATTTGTCAAGTAATTCATAAAATCACGGGTTGTCTTATTGCCCTTTTGTAAGTTGCTGTTGTTGTCACCTTCAACTTGTTGTCTAACATCTGAGGGTGAGGCCATTAAAGTTCGAAAAATTTACTATCGATCAAGTTTGGTTGGCTTGACAATTTTGGCACATATCTTGTGATACTGAGACTTTCCCTAATGAATATGATATTTCCCAGACTTTTTAATTGGCTTGACATTTTTGGCAATTATTTTGTGATGGTAAGTCTTTGCCCCCATAAGTCAAGTAGCAACATTAAACAATCACAGTTAATGTCATTTAAATTGTCCATTATTTGCCAAGAAATATCAGTCACAACTCACAACTGGTCCTTATTTAGTCAATTGTACAAGACACAAAATTTCAAAAATAAAAATAAAAATAAAAATAAGAAAATAAAAAACCACCAATTGCTCGTTCGAAATGAATGCAGGGTATATATATAATCTTCTCAACTATTCACGGTATACAATCTATACATAGTACTATTTGAATTGAAGATTTGGTGTACTATGATACGAATTTTTATATTATGTGAACGATATAAAATAATTGATAGCTAGAAACTACAGTTTTATGAGAATGTATTCATTATGATGTGATTCCAAATCTTCAAAAGTGATATGGATTTTAATGGATATAACCTTCAATTGCAGTTGAAAGGTTTGGAATCTTGAGTCTCGGTCAAGAAACACTAAGCAACAAGAGCTTAAAACCTAAACTAGGCTAAGAATACACAAACACAGGCTTACATAAAACTTTATAAATTTCAAATCAATCATACTTTTCGTTAAACACCATCACGTATTTATAAGCTAAATAGTTAGCCTAAAAATCGTGTTGAACAAATTCTAATCTAACTAGGAAACTTACCCTAACTTGTAAAGATAATATTTTGCAAATATAATCTTTAAAGTTAAGCTTATCTTCTACTAACCGAATTAAACCAAGAAAAATATCCTAATAAATTCGGTCACCTAATAATAAAATTAAAAATAACATAAAATTAATTAAAATAACAATATTGATGCCTTGGAACCACATCATACTCCCCCTCTTGAAAAAACTTGTCCCAAGTTTTAGCAAAGCATGGAACCAAGATATCATCCAAATTAATCAAACATGAACTAAAAGAATATGTCTCCATCCAACCACGTCATGCTTATAACTTACACCATTGAATGCACCACAAACTTCAATCGAATGCTCCAAATTTTTTATTAATGACACATCTTTGTCAATGCCATCAATATAATGGAAATAATACGTGAAAATATTTGTATCCCAATTATCACCGTAAAAGGAAGTTGTAGAAATTTGACTTTTTGATTCCAACTAGATACCACAAATGTAACCTCATCGTCAATGAAACTAGACAGATATACACTTTTGTGCTCCATAATTTCTTTTTCTTCTACTAGTTGTTCATGAGATTGCTCTAAAATTGGATTTGTAAAATTATCACTTGGTAAAGATACAATCTTTTCCTCGTATATAGCCTCAACAATAGGTTGCTCTACTTTCTCCTTCTCACAAGACATATCTTGTAAGCTACATCTCACATCACATATTTGAAAACGTGCATCAATTCTATCCAAACATGCATTCATTTTCTTGATTTCCTCCATAAGTGCTTCAAACAAACTTTGATTCTCCATGTTTAAGTGGATGAGAAAACACACAAAATCAGTCCAGAAATTGAACGTCTGAAATTTTGTATGATGATAGCCCTATATGTCTAAAAATACTCGACCAAAAAAATCAGCAAAAAATTCCAAGCCAAGTGGTCGCAGTTTATTTTATCCCCAACACTGTCAGCTTAGTTCGATTTTTGACCAGTTGTTAAAAACGAACCTAGTTTAATAGCTATGCTCCTCGAAAAATTCTCAAATTTTACAGGTGAAAGCTAGACAAAAATTTAACCAATTAGAAAAAGAATCAACTCAAAATCTTTAGAAACGAAGGAGAACCTAGTCGATCAATATGACCTTCGGAACTGAGGTTTTTGACACGATTTGTCAAACTCACCCCTCGTCAAATAGTAGCCACACCAATTTGATATGGATTTTAATGGATATAACCTTCCATCGCAGTTGAAAGGTTTGGAATCTTGAGTCTCGGTCAAGAAACACTAAGCAACACGAGCTTAAAATCTAAACTAGGCCAAGAATACACAAGCACGAGCTTATGTAAAATTTTATAAATTTCAAATCAATCATACTTTTCGTTAAACACTCTCACGTATTTATAAGCTAAATAATTAGCCTAAAAATCGTGTAGAAAAAATTCTAATCTAACTAGGAAACTTACCCTAAATTGTAAAGATAATATTTTGCAAATATGATCTTTAAAGTTAAGCTTATATTCTATTAACCGAATTAAACTAACAAAAATATCCTAATAAATTCGGTCACCTAATAATAAAATTAAAAATAATATAAAAATAATTAAAATAACAATATTGATGCCTTGTAACCACATCAAAAAGAACATTATTTCTACACCCATTGATTTTAGGTAAAGGAGAAATTTTCTTAAGCTATCTTGTAGATATAACACGGCTAAGGATGACGACTAACATGCTCTTGAAAGAACACACTATTCAAAATAAAAGAACGTATCTCACATGATGTACTCACTACTCAATCCATTAAGCATAAATCAAAAGAATATGGAGTAAATTTTACGAGTGTTAATAATGTATTTAGGCGCATGGAGCACAATTGATTAAGGGATTGTAAATATATATATTTATAAAGTCTATCAAGAAATGGTAGAATTTTGATATCGAAAAAAGAAAGAGAGAGGAAAGTGATCCATGAGTAATTATTAAAAAACACTTAGGATTCTTGATTCTCCATATCATAACTTGATATAGTACTGAACTTTTTCTTTTTTTTTCATAAAGTAATGTAGTAAAATGGCTAGTGGGAGCACAATCAATCCAGCTACATTACAATTAAGTACAGTATATAATTGCACAGTCTTCAAATATGTTATAAGGAATGTAACGATAGTGATTGTTTTGTTGGCTGTGGAATGCGTAGGATATGGAATTACTGTACTACGATTACTTGAGTCACTGCCTCATTGGGTTTACCAAAATCAAACCTTATCATACAGTATGCTCAATCTGTCTAGAATTGATAAAGGTACGTCCAAATTATTCACCGATTTAGACAAAGTTGTCACATTTCCTAAGTATGGAATGAAATAAACAGGAGGGAGAGAAAACAAACCAATTATAAAGAGAGGAAGGGTAGTACAAGGAGTTGATACTCGGTAAAAAAAAAAAAAAAAAAGTATGTATTGACACATAGGCCAAATCAACGAATACAAAACAACAAGTCTTGTAAAATTGCTGCTGTTATTACAAGCACTTCTCCCTGGTAACGTTTACAAGGCAATAGCACCAAATACTGCAATCTATGAAGATTGGTTACACCCTTGTCAGAACAACGAGAGAGAACAAAAAAAAAAAACTATTACATCAAGTAAGAAATATGATAAGTGCATTTTTCTAACCGCTCATGACGTTCCTAAAATTATAAGGAACAAACAATATCACAACCAGATGAACAAAGATTATGTTAAAAGTTCTTAGTCTAATTATCATCGTGGTACTCTATATACAGCATTATAAGAAAGAAAAACACCATCACCACCACCCATGGAACAAAAATTCCAGTTATCCACTGGCAGGGCCTTGACCTTTGCTTTGATATACTGCTTCTAGACACTCCTTTGCTCGATGGACCTTCGATTGGAGGTAAAAGCTCCCTTGTTTGGCATTCCTCTCAAACAAAACATCATATTTCTGCACAAATGAATGATAATCATTTACACATAATCACAAAAGATATTAGAAAATTAAACAAAGATAATCAAGAGGTGGGGACATACTTTCAAAATATCTTCCCAGGCTGCATTCTCAGGAACACCAAGAATTTGCCTTGCTTCTTGCTCTGTGATGGCTTTACTTGCTTTACGTACAGTATTCTGCATTGCTTCTTGAGCAGCACCAGTTTTCGAGGCATCTGCAATACAGGAGCTAGTGAGTGATAGAATAGAAGCAGCTAGTATCTTTACCTTATTGGCCTGTACATACATACACATATGTTGCAAGAATAGTAGGCATTGTAGCACATAATTATCAAATAAAAATGCAGGTGTTTGATGTTTAATGTTCCAAATTACAATTTTTTATTTCTTCTGAAATCTATTTAAGGCCCTTAAGCCTTACATCTACACCATATCTTGTTAATTTTATATTAATTAGTCCCTAATGCAACGCACATACACACTCTTCATCCAATCTAGGTACATCCTTGCATATTGAATATAATAAAAGTGGTATCAAAACCTTGGCAGTGTCAAGGGCCAAAAAAAGAAGGCAAGATGAACAATTGACATTCAAATGAAACCAGAGAAAGATGAAAATAAGGATGGTGTAGTAGACTAATAAGAAAATTTGGAGAGAGAGCTAAAGTAGCCTATGTGATAAAAACACCAAGCCACCAACAGAAGATCAAATCAAAAGTTTTTGTTCCATAGGATGATTGCTGATATGGGCACCAAAATAAGTAGACAAAAAAAATAGCAGACTTGGTGATGGCAAAATACACATCGACAAAATGAGCAAATAACCCATCTAAATGAGTAAAGAACTTGGGTCCCACTAAATTTTATTGTTAAGATCAAGACTTCTAGCCCAGCAACTTCAAAAAAGAGAAAAGACATAAAAATGCATCTCAAGTCATAAGGGGTAGGGCAAAACCTAGCACATATCAAAATCAAGAAATAGGCATAAACCCTAAGAAAGAAAGAAAAAAATACAGATTGAAGCACCAAATATCACCACTCAATTTATTTAAGGATTTCAGGAACACCATGCATTAAATAATAATGCCAAGAGGTAAAACAAGGCAGAAATACTATGAAAGGAGGAGCAACAAGAGTGAATAGAAAATATGTTGCAAGCAAGGACTAGAGAATGTGAAATAAACAAGGAATTGATATTTAAGACTCCGAGGCTCAAATACCTCAAATAAACTTGGGGGATCATTATGTGATCTCTCAAGGTTACTGCCTAATCTTCCTTTAAAAACAGAGCTTAAGTGATGTATGAGAGAAAATTCTTTCATTTTACAATTTACACAGTAGTTCTTTCATTTTACAA